GACAGGGCAGACGGGTATGTCGCTGCGGGAGGCAGGTCGGGGAGCGGGGTGGTTTGATGAGTCAGCGAAGCGCCCGCCATGTGCTTGTGTACTGCTCTCCTTACTTTAAGCTGCCTGCTCGCCCTGCCCCCCACGCGAGGCGCTCACGCACATGCACGCACGAGCGCTGTACTTAACGCACACTCACACGTGCACATACATACGCACACTCACACGCACGCACATACATGGAGCACAAACGCTCAAAAAATATGCACAAAACTAGAGAAAAACAATCAGATACGTCTCATATCTTTTTAAATTTAGTTTTTTTTTCTGTCACATTGGATATACAAATTATATATTTTTTATCCTTATATGCACATTGACTTTCATATCTGTATATCTATCTCTTTCCGCCTGTTTATCTCTTTATCTTATCTATGTATATGCACATCATAATCTACAAACACACACATGTATAGACACTTCTCGCGCCTCCTCTTTCCCAGAGCCACGCTCTTTGACCTCGAAAAGAACGGAAATGTTAATCCCGGTGATAACAGTGACACTTGAATATTTCATAACACGAGGTGATAAAAAAAAAACAATAACGATAATGGTGTTGTAAAATGGCGCGCACCGCACCCGGACAGGTCACGTGACAGCTTCAATTAGCGACTCATCCCCGTCGCACCTGCCCGCGGTGAAGGGGTACCTGGCCACCGGCGAGGGAGGGAGGGGGCAGGGTGAGGTGGCGGGGGGAGTAGTGTAGGAGGGGAGGTGTGGGTTAAGTTGGGAGGAGGGAGGAGAGGTTGGTGGGGTAGGAGAGTGGGAGGTTGTGGGTTGTGGGGGAGGAAGTGCGGGAGTGGTGGAAACCAGATGATGGTGCGAGGAGGCGGGGGCTGGTGTTGGTGTTGGGGGAGAGGAAGGAGGAGGTGTTTGGTGTGGGGGGTAGGAGGAGGGGGAGGTTGTGGGTTGTGGGGAGGAGCGTGTGGTGTGGGGAAGGAAAGAGGGCGAGGATGGGGGCGGTTGGGGAGGGAGGAAAGAGGAGGAGGTGATTGTGTGTGCCGGAAGGATGAGGCTCGCTTGATTGTGGCGAAGAAAGAGGAAAGCAGAGAATGTCGGGTGTTGTGGGGAGGAGGGAGGGAGGAGGGTAGGGAAGGAAGAGGAAGAGAAAGGCCGAGGCAGCGTGGGGATCGTTGGGGGAGGGGAGGAAGAGGATGGTGTGTGTGGGGGAAGCGTAAGAGGGCCTGAGTGAGCGTGGGTGCCGGTGTCGGGGATGGGGTAGGATTTGGGCGAGTCGAGAGCGCCAAAGTGTGAGAGTTGAGTGGAGTGGGGTCGTTTTTTTTTTGGTACGGTGGGGGTGGTGGGAGTGCTAGTGATGTTAGCGTTTTGTAGCGCCGGGACTTCGATGTGAGTTGACGAGGGTCAAAAACCGAGGTTCCGCCCATTTTGCTTCTTCTGCAGGATATTTTATTTGTTTGGAAACTGAATGTTCCCATTTCTTCTTTTTTATTCTCTTCTCTCTCCTCTCTTTTTCGTGCTCGTTTCTTGTTTTGTCTTAACCTGCTCCCCTTCCCTTTTGCCTTACGCTTGCCGTTCTTTTAAGCCTTCTTTAACAATCCTTTCTTACTCTTCTTTTTCTTCTCCCCTCGGGGGTTCCCCCTTTCCTCTCCCCACCACCACTATCATCACTACATCATTCGTCATCATCGCCATTATCATCATCACCATCTCCGATCCCTCGATTTCCGTTCTCGGGGTCCACGTCACCATTCCTCTCCGTGTTCCTTCTCTCATCATCCATCTTTCCATCATTCATTCATCTCATCATCATCATCACACCATACCCATCATCATTTCATCTCATCCTCCTCCTCCTCTCTTCTCCTTCATCATCATCATCATCATTCATCATCATCATCATCATCATCCTTCTTCTCCATTACCACCTCACCGTCTTCCTCCTCCTCCTCCTCCTCCTCCTTCACCACATTCTTTCCTTTCCTTCTCTCCTCCCCTCTCCCTCTTTCTCACCCCTTCTTCCTCCTCGCAGGGCGTTTATGCATAAGTTTGCAATTTATACGTGTGAGTGTTCGCATGTGTGTCTCCTTTTCTGCCGGGCAAGATAAAGGGTGGATGGTGCTTGCAGGCAATCAGGTTCTTGCATACACGTGCAATAATGACCTTGGTCTTATCTCATGGGCTGCGCAAAGGAAGGAAGGAAGGAAGGAGGGAGGACGGGGAAGGGAAGGAGGGAGGGCAGGAGGGAGGGAGGGAGGGAAGGGGGAGGGAGCGTGGGAGGAGAGGAAGGATGGAGGGAGGGAGGTGGGAGGAGAGGAGGGGAAGAAGGAAGGAAGAAGGGAGAATGGGAGGGAGGAGGTGAAGAAGGAAGGAAGGAAGTGAGGGAGGAAGAAGAGGATGGAGGAAAGAAGAAGGAAGAAGGGAAGGAAAGAAAGAAAGGAAAGAAGAAAGAAGATTAGGCAAGAGGAAGCGAAAGAGGAAGAAGGGAAGATGGCAATAGGGAATTCAGGTTTGGAAAGAAGGCGTTGGGCAGGAAAGAGGAGAGGAAGGGAGGGAAGGATAAAGGAGAACAAGGAGGAAGACAAGCAGTGGGAATGCAAGGAAGGGAAAGGGGAAATGGAGGAATTCGTGAATATGCGAGCGGTACGAGGATGTAGAAGAAGAGGGGAGAAAGAGAAGGGGAGAGGGAGAAAGAGATGGAGAGATGGATCAAGTCAGACACAGACAGACAGACAGACAGACAGACAGACATCAGGAACGTAAGCTCTTCGAACCGCCCCGAAAACCACCTGACCCCCTGCCCTCTGCCTCCCCTCTCTTTCACCCTTGAGGAGGGAGAGAGAGAGAGAGAGAGAGGAAGAGAGAGAAGAGGAGAGGGAGAGGGAGAGAGGGAGAGAGAGGGAGAGAGAAGAGAGAGGAGAGAGGAGAGAGAGAGAGAGAGAGAGAAAGAGAAGAGGAGAGAGAGAGGGAGAGGAGAGAGAGAGAGAGATAGGAGAGAGAGAGGAGAGAGAGAGAGAAGAGAGAGAGGAGAGGAGAGAGAGAAGGAGAGAGAGAGAGAAGAGAGAGAGAGGAAGGAGGGGGCTCGCATGACCTGGAGGGGGGGGGCGTGTACACAGGTGACAGTCTTTACGGGAATAAACTTCAGCTAATCTGTTGGAGGTGTCCTGTCCCCCCTTCTCCTCCCTCCCTCCCTCCACTCCCTCCAGCCAATCATCACCCCTCCCCCCCCTCCCCCCAGTGTCTAGGAGGTGTGGCGCTTGCAGCCTTTGTTGCTTTGTCTCGGTCTTTCCTTTTTTATTCTCTCTCTCTTCTCTTTTTTTTCTCTCTCGCAATCACTCGTGGCTGTCTCTCCCGCTCTGCTTCCTCCCATTCTGTGTATTCCTCCCTTCCCTTCCCTCTCCCTCCTCGCGCCCTCCCCTGCGCCCACCCCCCCAGCCCCCCCCACCCCCACCTCAATGCCAGTCCAGCGGTGGACAAAGGAAGAGAGAGAGACCATTTGTTGGAAGGGCGCTGCGCTCTCTCTCTCTCTCTCTCTCTCTCTCTCTCCTCTCTCTCTTCTCTCTCTCTCGCTCTCTCTGCTCTCGTCTCGCTCTCTGTCTCTCTCTCTCTCTCTCTCTCTCTCTCTCTCTCTCTCTCTCTCTCTCCTGCTCTCTGCTTTGCTCGTTCTCTCTCTCTCTCTCAATCTCTCTCCTTCTCCCTCTCCCTCCTTCGCTCTCCCTTCTATTTGAGTACCCAGTTCGCCACTTCTCCGTCAGCATCCCCTCTCTCCCTCTCTCACCTCGTCTCCGCTTCCCTAGAAGTGATCAAGTGGACGAGTACGAGCGGTTAGGGTTAGCTATATCTCTCTCTCTCTCTGCTCTCTCTGCTCTCTCTCTCTTTCTCTTTCTTCTCCCTCCTCTCTCTCCCGTCGAGGGCGCCGGTCCCT